ATTGGTTATAGTAGGTTCATACACTATTTTTCCAGGTAATTATAGTAGGCTTAACATGAAGAGTTACATAGAGTTTTAACTTATATACACTTACTGTTGGTTCACCTTTAGCGGGTAGTGCGTCTTATTACACTATGGATGTCGATGTATATAAGTTAAGCTCAGTTTTACTTGTATATATATATTTTGGATGACCTTATAGTGCTAAAAGTCATTACACTATGGATGATTAGATGTTGATGTATATAAGTTAAACTCGGTTTAGTAGTATGTATGCTTTAGCTGACCTGATAGAAGTTAAATATTATTACTCTGTCTATGTCGATGTATGTTAATCTCAGTTACTTATAGTCGTAGATCAATTTTTAAGCTATTGATGAAATTAAACTAGTTGTATTTTAGGGTGTCATACTCATACTCAATACCTATATACAGTGTCAGTGGATAGAACTGAAACTCTTTCTTCTATATGTAACTTGTAATGTGTTATAGTTTACAATTTTGGGAACTTACTAAACTACGTGCCAAGTCAAACAAAGTGACCTATAAACTATGTTGCTCGGATTGTCCAAAAATGCATAGCTTGTGGAGGATCCGACACACACTTGACAGTATTTTTGAAGAACCGAGCAACATAGCCTATAAATGCTAAGGGGAAACAGATAGAAGAATAAGAATGTGTTCTAACTAGAGTTAAAGAACTGAATATTTTTGTCATTTTCTATTTTCGATTTAGAGGGCATAGTTATAAGTTATATCTCTTGTGTGATTAACAAAGCATTGCTTATAAATGAACAAATTGTCTAGTAACAAGTATTACATTTTACCATTTTTTTGCGCCTCTCCACCGACTAAAATCTGAAAGTGTCATGTAGTTGGGAATGGCCACTGCACTAGAAACTCTTTGCGGTCAGGCTTTCGGAGCTAAGCAGTATCAAAGACTTGGTACTCAAACATACACAGCCATTTTCTCTCTCATCATTGCTTGCATTCCCATCGCAGTTTTATGGTTATATGTGGGGAAATTGCTAGCTTTCATGGGGCAAGATCCTCAGATTTCTCATGAAGCCGGCAAGTTCATTAAGTGGATGATTCCTGCTCTCTTTGCTTACGCGAATCTTCAGTCACTTGTTCGGTACTTTCAAATGCAAAGTATGATTGTTCCAATGCTCATAAGCTCTTGCATTACGATATGCTTCCACATACCACTGTCTTGGGTGCTAATTTTTAGCTCTGGCTTAGGTAATATTGGCGCAGCAGTGGCTGTTGGTATTTCGTTATGGTTGAATGTCATAATTCTTGCTTCATACATGAGGTTGTCTCCTGCTTGTGCAAAAACCCGTGCACCAGTGTCATGGGAGATCGCCAACGGAATGAGAGAGTTCTTTCAGTTTGCTATCCCTTCTGCTGTCATGATTTGGTACTTCAACAGCCTCACTTGGCCTATTTTAGTAATTTACGTACACTTAACCTTCACATGTCATTCTACGTAACTCATGCTACGATTGTATTTGTAGTCTTGAATGGTGGTCATTTGAGCTGCTCATCTTACTATCCGGACTATTGCCGAATCCCCAACTTGAAACTTCAGTACTATCTATATGGTATGCTCTAAATCTTGCTCTTTGTTTCTCAGACTCTCCAAAAATGTTGCCGCACCCATGTTGGATCCTCCAAAAATACATTACTTTTGGAGGATTTGACACGTAGCGGACAACATTTTTGAAGAGTCCGAGCAAAGATAGATCTCACTCGTAAATGATTTATTCAATCAGTAATATGATTTACAAGGTCCTAAAATTGCTAGTTTCTTGTGATATATTCCATGGTGCAGCCTGAATACTACTTATACCCTTTATGCAATTCCATTTGGTCTCTCTGGCGCTGTAAGGTATTTTTGAATATCTAATCGAACATTCCCTTTCCACATAGTTTTTTTTCTCAAATATGTGGTTACTGAACTCTTGTTTACTTTCAGCACTCGAGTTTCTAATCAATTAGGAGCTGGAAATCCTCAAGGAGCTCGCGCATCCGCGGTTTCTGTAATGCTCATTGCTGCCGCAGAGTCAATACTAGTAGGCACAACTGTATTTGCTTGTCGAAATGTATTTGGCTACATTTTCAGCAATGAGAAGGAAGTCGTGGACTATGTCGCAAACATTGCTCCTCTTTTATGTCTATCAGTCATTATTGACAGCTTTCAAGGAACCCTTTCAGGTTAGCCTTTCTTTACATCAAGTTACTACAGTAAAATGTAACTACTACGAGTGGCGAGCCTTGTTTTCAACTGAATCCCCTTTGCCGGAAAATTGTACTACGTATATAGGTTAGACTTTTTCCACATCAAGTTACTACAAGAAAATTATAAGGCAGAGTCACGTCTACCAAAGGGTATTCAACTAATTAATCCCCTTTGCCAGAGAATTATACAATGTATATAGGTGAGACTCATTCTACATCAAGTCAATTACAAGAAAAGGTATCATATACCTGTGGTGGAGCCACATTTACCTAGCGTTTTAACAGAATTCCTTTTGTTGGAAAATTGTACAATGTATACAGGTTTACTACAAGAAAAGGTAACAAATGTCGGTGGGATAGCCACATTTAACTAGGGAGGTTAACTGAATCCCCTTTGCTGGAAACTTTTTCCACACTAAGTTAGTACAAAAAAAGGTAACGGTAAAGATATGACACTTGGGCATAACTCAATCTGGAAAGCTAGTTCGTAAAAGGAGGATTGTCGAAATCCATGTAAGCAGATCCTTAGTCCATTCTTCAACCAATGTGAGACTCTAAAAGTAACAAATACCAGCGGCAGAGCTACATTTGCTGGAAAATTGTACTATGTATATTGGTGATCTTTCTTCTTAACGTGCATATATATACGTTGTTGAATCTGCCACTTACAGATACATGACATGAACGGACGTATAATTAACTGTGGTATAATGCACATTGTAGGTGTCGCGAGGGGATGTGGTTGGCAGCATATCGGTGCCTATGTCAATCTTGCTTCGTTTTACCTTTGTGGAATTCCTATCGCTGCTTCATTAGCGTTTTGGCTCAACTTTCGAGGAAAAGGCCTGTGGATCGGCATACTTTCTGGTGCAATTCTGCAAACTATTCTACTCTCTGTTATAACATGCTGCACAAATTGGAAAAAACAAGCTGCAATGGCAAGGAAGAGGTTTCATGCTGATGAAAATTCATCAGTAGATAACATGTTGTCCTAAAAAAATGTGGAAAATTCTCTTCGAAATACTCAAATAATGTTGATTGGTTTCTATGAGGCATCTTTGCTCCGTGAAACCGAATAACAAGAGGCCAAGTGTCATTTCCTAATTGTTAGCAGAGTCACAACAACCATCGAGATAACCTCATTGAGGTCGAGGATTATGGTAGAAGGTTAGTAGGTACTTAAGCAATTGTTACACTTGTTTTGTGCATTGCTATTTTATTATCTCTTATTTCTTCTTTTTTTTATGCGTCAATTACATTTCGTATGAGCCGTGGTTAGAGGTAAGATTTGTGTACATCCTACCCTCCTACTCATACTGGTGATAAAAATATTTGTGTTTAAGAAATTTAAGACTGATTACTGATTTTATAGCCACTTGTGCTAGATTTTAGATAAGAAATTGATAGTTAGGCTAAAAAGGTTAGTTAGATGACCAAATAACTCGTATTTTTTCTCGAAATAGTAACCGTATCATTTTTAAAAAAAATACACCCTCTGATTCATTTGTTATTGTGTTTATATGATTGTTATTTTAAAAGATTAAAATATAATTAATTATTTATTTATTTCAATTTTTACCCTATTCAAAAAAAATGAAAAAGAGATTAATACGACGACAAAAGATAGTTTTAAGCTGAAATTAAAAAATAAATAAAATAAATTATTTCATAATATATTGTATTTTATTGTATAATTTTAATGAATATAACGTTTAGATAGATTATTTCACGCTCCATCGTTACGTAATGTCCTACATTAGCAATTTGAATGACAAATCTACAAGAAAAGTAAGCTACAAACTAGAGCTATTATGAAAAGGTAAGATAAATGAAAAAAAAATATAACTATTTAATAGTACATAGATAAAATGAAAAGAAAATATTAAGATAACAATGTGATCACATCAAATCAGTTGTTACATTAAATGAGACTTTCATTGTTATTTAACGATAGATTTAAACGATACAATATAATAAAATTTAAGTAACAATTAAAATAAATAATATATTTAAATTAACAATACAATACCACGGATAACCAGTAACAACCATCCAAACAAGGTGTCAAGCAACCACTACAACTAATAATGGATCTAATGACTAATACCTCATGGCATATGTCCATCTTCTTGGGAAACAAGGAAAGAAAGATTAGTTTAATGCTAGTCAACCAAAGTCAATATTTTTTTTAAAAAAATAAAATAAAATCTAAACCAAAGTACAATCTTTTTTAAAAAAATAAATAAATAAAAACTAAACCAAAGTACAATCCAAGAACCAGTCAACAAAAGACAAACAAACACCTCTTCAAACAAACCATTAGGCATCATTGTATAACAAATTTCTCACACTTTCTCTGGCTACACTTTTTCCATTATTTTTTTTGGGTTTTCAAAAAAACAAGATTTTTATACTCTGGTTTCCTCATCAGAGGTATCTTTGTCTCTGTCTCTCATAAATATACAATCTTTTTCAAAAAGGGAGTCTTTTTTTATTAATTTAAGATACATTTTACATGGTATTTTCAAAAGGGGTGGCTTTGTTCTCCTCTTAAAAATCTTGATTTCTTACAAGGTATTTTCCAAAAGGGGTATCTTTGCTCTCCCCACTCTTTGTATAAAATCTTGAATTCTTACAAGGTATTTACAAAAAGGGTGTTCTTTTGGAAAGTTCAAGACTCTTTTATTTAAAATAAAAATTCAAATTTTTTACAAGGTTTTCTCAAAAGGGATCTTTTTTACAAGTTCACGACTTTTTAAAAAAAATAAAAAATCATGGAGAGTGTAGAAGAAGGATTGTTATTGAAAGAAAGGGAGTTAGTTAAATTGAGATGGGGAGTAATTTGGGAGGAAGTGAAAGAAATTGGTTATTTGGCTGGTCCTATGATAATTGTGACACTTTCACAGAATTTTTTTGCAAACAATATCATTGATGATGGTTGGTCATTTGGGTGAACTTGCCCTCTCAAGTACTTCTATTGCTATTTCTATTGGTGGAGTCACTGGCCTCAGCTTACTTGTGAGTACATATTTATTATCCTAATTTACGTTACACACTTTCCTTTTTAGTTCGTTTGAAAAGAATGTCACTTTTCCGTAATTAGAAATAGCTTAGCTTTTGTTAGAGTGGGTTAGAGTCCCGCGTTGATTGGAGAATGGATATGGACTTGGATAATATACCCTTAATAGCTAGCTTTTGAGGTTCATGTGTTAGAACTAGGTACATTCCTAGGTCCATACCTCAGTTGGGCTTGGGCGTGAAGAAGGTGTTAGAGTAGTCGGGGAGTTGATTGATGGTCTACTTATATACTCCCTCAAGAGTTTATCTTTTGGAGTTATGTTACGTGCATGTGTCATATCTTTTACGACTCTTATAGTCACACAAATATCTAAGGTTTGTTTTAGATCACAAATTTTAAAAGTCTTCCTAATCAAATAGTGCGACATGTTGGGTCGTAGGGAGTATTATATCTTGGATTTGAATTTAAGTTATATACCTACGTTGTTAGTTTAATTGCATCAATTATGGTAGGTTCTGACTCTATTTTCAGTAACCATGTAGGCTTTACATGAAGAGTTACATAGAGTTTAACATATGCTTACTGTTGGTTCACCTTTACCTTTATAGCGGGTAGCGCTCCTTATTACACTATGGATGTCGTTGTATAAGTTAAGCTCAGTTTTACTTGTGTATATATATTTTAGGTGAACTCTTTCTTCTATATGTAACTTGTAATGTGTTGTGTTAACAATTTTGGGAACTTACTAATCCGTCCGTTTCAATTCGTTTGTTTTACTATCCTTTTTAGTTTGTTTCGAAAAGAATGCCACTGTCCTTTTTGAAGGATCTGACACACACTTAGCAGTATTTTTGAAGAGCCGAGCAACATAGCCTATAAATGCTAAGGGGAAACAGATAGAAGAATAAGAATGTGTTCTAACTAGAGTTAAAGAGCAGAATTTTTTTTGTCATTTTCTATTTTCAACTTAGAGGGTGTAGTTATAAGTTATAACTCTTGTGTGATTAGCAAAGCATTGCTTATAAATGAACAAATTGTCTAGTAACATGTATTACTTTTTACCATGTTTTGTGCCTCTCCACCGACTAAAATCTGAATGTGTCGTGTAGTTGGGAATGGGCACTGCACTAGAAACTCTTTGTGGACAGGCTTTCGGAGCTAAACAATATCAAAGACTTGGTACTCAAACATACACAGCCATTTTGTCTCTCTTCATTGTTTGCATTCCCATCGCAGTTTTATGGCTATATGTGGGGAAACTGCTTACTTTCATGGGGCAAGATCCTCAGATTTCTCATGAGGCCGGCAAGTTCATTAAGTGGATGATTCCTGCTCTCTTTGCTTACGCAAATCTTCAGCCACTTATTCGGTACTTTCTAATGCAAAGTATGATTGTTCCAATGCTCATAAGCTCTTGCATTACAATATGCTTCCACATACCGTTGTCTTGGGTGCTAGTGTTTAGCTCTGGTTTAGGTAATATTGGTGCAGCAGTGGCTATTGGTTTATCGATGTGGTTGAATGTCATAATCCTTGCTTCATACATGAAGTTGTCTCCTGCTTGTGCAAAAACCAGTGCACCTGTGTCATGGGAGGTCGTCAACGGAATGAGAGAGTTCTTTCAGTTTGCTATCCCTTCTGCTGTCATGATTTGGTACTTCAACAACCTTGCTCTGCCTCTTTTAATAGTTTAATTACACTTTACCTTTACATGTCATTCTACAAAACTCATGCTACATTTTGTATTTTATAGTCTTGAATGGTGGTCATTTGAGCTGCTCATCTTACTATCCGGACTATTGCCGAATCCCCAACTTGAAACTTCAGTACTATCGATATGGTATGTTTGAATCTCGTTCTATGTTACTCAGACTCTCCAAAATGTTGCTGCACCCATGTCTGATCCTCCAAAAATACACTACTTTTGGAGGATCTGACACATACCCAACAACATTTTTGAAAAGTCCAAGCAAACATAGATCTCGCTCGTTAATGATTGATTCAATTAGTAATATGAGCTACAAGGTCTTAAAATTGCTAATTTCTTGTGACATCCCATGGTGCAGCCTGAATACTATTGCTACCCTTTATGCAATTCCATTTGGTCTCTCTGGCGCTGTAAGGTATGTTTGAATATCTAATCGAACTTTCCGTTTCCACATAGTTTTTTTTTTCTTGAAATACGTGGTTATTGAACTCCTGTTTACTTTCAGCACTCGAGTTTCTAATCAATTAGGAGCTGGAAATCCTCAAGGAGCTCGCGTATCCGCGATTTCTGTAATGCTCATTGCGGCCACAGAGACAATACTAGTAAGCGCAGCTGTATTTGCTAGTCGAAACGTATTTGGCTACATTTTCAGCAACGAGAAGGAAGTCGTGGACTATGTAGCAAACATGGCTCCCCTTCTATGTCTATCAGTCATTACTGACAGCCTTCAAGGAACCCTTTCAGGTTAGACTTTCTATACATCAAGTAACTACCAGAAAATGTAACTACTACTAGTGGTGAGCCACGTTTTCAACCGAACCCCCTTTTGCCGGTAAACTGTACTCCCTGCGTCCCAATTTGTGTGGCACCTTTTGTTTTACGAGAGTCAGTTTGACTAATCTTTGAAGCTGCATTAGATTAGATCAACTCTTAAAATTAAAATTTAGATATTCAAAAACTATACGAAAGTACTATAAGTTGCAATTACTCTCATGTCAATATGATTAAAAAATACCCTTTAAAGTATTCGTCAAAATTTACATAGTTTGAATCTTGAAAAACGAAAAGTGTCTCATAAATTGGACACATTAAGTAACAGATACCAGCAGCGGAGCCACATTTACCAAAGGAGGGTCAACTGAGTATCCTTTGCCAGAAAATTATACAACGTATAGAGGTTAAGACTCTTTCATGCCAAGTTACTACAACAAATACCTTTGGCTAAGCCACATTTACTTGGGGGGTTCAACTGCATCCCTTCACCGGAAAATTGTACTATGCATATTGATGAAGTTTTTCCTAACGTGCGTATATATAAATTGTTGAATCTGCCACTGACAGATGCATGACAAGAACGAACGTATGACTAATTGTGGCATTATGCACATTGTAGGTGTCGCGAGGGGATGTGGTTGGCAGCATATCGGAGCCTATGTCAATCTTGCTTCATTTTACCTTTGTGGCATTCCTATCGCTGCTTCATTAGCGTTTTGGCTCAACTTTCGAGGAAAAGGCCTGTGGATCGGCATACTTTCTGGTGCAGCTCTGCAAACTATTCTACTTTCTGTGATAACATGCTGCACAAATTGGGAAAAACAAGCTGCAATGGCAAGGGAGAGGCTTCATGCTGATGAAAAATCATCAGTAGATAACATGCTGTCGTAAAAAAATGTAGAAAATTCTCTTCGAAAATCGAAAGCCTGAATAACAAGAGGCCAAGTGTCATTTCTGAGTTGTTAGCGGAGCCATGACAACCATTGAGATGACCTCGAGATATGTGCTACACTTATTGTTGAGGTCGAGGATTACAGTAAAAAGTTAGTAGGTAGTTAAGGGTTATTGTACTTCTAGTTGTACGATTTAGGTACCATGTAATTTCTTGTCTCCAATATGTATTAATATATGTTGCTACATTTGTTTTGTGCATTGCTATTTTGTTGGCTCGTTTTTTTTTCCTTCTTTTCTGCGTCAGTTCCATTTCGTTTGAGCTTAAGGTCCTACCGGAAACAATCTATCTGTCCTTCAAGGTTTGTGTACATCATACATTCCTAGTGATGAATTTTGTGAACAATTATAATGATGTTAAGTGATATTAGTCCGATCTCCTTTCAAATTAATAGTTACTTTAACTCAAAAAGTTATCCTAAAATAATTATTTGTTTAAGAAATTCAAGACTAAATTAAAGTTGGCAATTATTTTCAGTTAAACTTTAATATTAATAAGAATGTGCAATATTTTAGAGGACAATATCGATTTACTTTTCATTAAATAAAGACAACTTGTTAAAATATATCTTTGTATAATTTTTTTAATAGACGTATAAAGAGTTCTTTTAAAATACAATTAAAATGAGAGTGAGGGAGTACTATATACAACAAGTTTCTCCACTGAGTAAAGAGTCAAATTCAATCTAAATATCTCGAATTTTTTGGGTTTTATATCTTAACTATGAAGTGTGCGAGTTTTCTACTTGAACTATTATCAAATATTTATCGAAACACATCCTAACTATCAATTATTCACTATTTCTACCTAAACAATAGTGACATTTGAGGTAGAAGCTGACACACCTACCTAAAATATCACCAATTAAAATGAGATCGAGGAAGTATTATATACAATAAGTTTCTTTATTCGAAGAATGAAAGGTCAAAAGTGTATTCTTGTGGTGTCTCAATACCTTTAAAAATGAGGTATCCGTCTTAGGTCCCCAAATTTGTATGCCCCTTTTTTTTTTAGTAATAATAGAATTATTATAAGTATTTCTTAAAAGTAAATTATATTGTGTCTGTCTTACCGTTCGTTTCAAAACATTAAAGAATGTTTTTTTTTTGTCAACTTTTTAATTTAACTTTCTCATGACATGTTTAAAAATATTTTGGTATATTATATGTTGAAATAATAATTCAAAGTTGGAATTTGTTATTTTTTATATTTATTTAATTATGTCTAGTTATGATTTGTTTGTCCAAGTTCATGTAGGAATAGATTTTTCTAGTATTAGTTTAATTTGATTTCTTACTTTATAATTCAAAATAGATAAAACTTGAAGTAAGATTCAAGAACCTTTGAATTTATAAATGAAATATTTTAATTTATTATATTTACCTTTAGTTTAACAGCATAGAAACAATAAAGTTTTTTCATTAAAAAAAAAACTTTGATTTAAAAATAAAAAAAAGTTAGGCCTCGATTTTACACATAATTAAGTGTATTTTTAAATAGGACAAGAAACTAACAGAAACGACACCGTTTAAAATTCATACTTCAAAACCCCCAACCCTCTTCATCTTCTTCTCCACTATTCTGTCTGTCAAAAGGGTGGAGGGTTTTAAGAAGAGAGAAAAAAAATGGGAAAAGCAGCGAAGGAGCAATTGAATAGAGCTCTCAGTGAGCATCTCAACACCATTTATGAAACTCTTGAGGTTTAATATTTTTTAAAATTATTAATTTTGCAGTTTCCTATTATATTTGTATGATGTGATTTATGAAAATTGAGTTTTTCTTTTGTTTTTGCAGGCATTGTATCAAACACCATCTTCATCTCTTGAAAAAGTCAGCTGGAAAGAGGTTATTCAGATGGGTGAACAGCTTTATAAACAAGCCACTATGGGTAAAATTCTTTTTTTCTCTTATGTAGTTTTACTTTTCAAAAGTTCCAATTTTTATACTCCCCTTTATCCCAAATTTAATTGTCATGTTTTAGTTTCCGAGAGTTAACTTGACTGATATTAGAAGCTAAATTGGATTACATTGACTCGATTTCTTATAACTAGATGTTGCAACTTTTCTCGTGTTAATTTTGATGGAAAATACATTTTTAAAATGTGGGTCAAAGTTTAAATAGTGTGACTTTCGAGAAGCAAAACATGACAACTAATTTGGATCGGAGGGAGTACTTTATATATGGCATATTTGTACTTATATTTCGTTTTGCTGAAATGGGTTTGATTCCATATTTATGTTTCTACCCAATTTATGATAGATTTATGGGTCTCTTTCTTTGTTTCTCTTTTATATTTAGTTTTACCTCTCAAAGTTCCAATCTTTGTACTTATGTAGGCCATCTTTGTGCTTATATTTTGTTTTGTTGAAATTGGGTTGATTCCAAATTTTGTAGTTCTATGTAATTTATGGTTTTTTTGGACAAATATAGTAGTTATGCGTATATATTAGTATATTTATAGGATGAAGGTTGATATTGGAGGTTCTTTTTCCTCCTTGAGCATTTGATACTCTCTTGTAATGCTGTTTGACCTTTCTAACCTAATATCCTTTTGATTATAGATGATATCATAGAGTAACGTTGAATCTTATTGGATATATATTTGGGTGTGTACGCGATACAGATGGATGTTTGTAAGCTCAAAACTTTAGGCATCATGAAAGAGATTGATGATTGAAACTGATGTTTCTGAATAACACTGGATGAAAACGAATGGAATAAAATGCAGAATAAGTGACTAAGTTCTAAATGAGTGGTATTCTATTTATCCTATGGACAAAAAAAAAAGGTAAACATTGCACCTAGATTATACTCCAACTCCTTCCCCATTTGCTCTTATGATCCATTAAAATTAAGTGCTGCAAGGATATCGACCCAACAAGACATGTAACAGATTTCGTATAGTATGGATCACGAGTCTTTGCATGTTACCCTTCATTTAGCATTCAAAAAAGCTACCAATCTCGCAATACGAGCTGTAAAATTTACTTCACAACTAATTCAACAAGAGCAAGTACAGCTTCCCCTAAAGCCCATAATAACTATCAGGAAGTAGTTTAGTTTGATAGTGGTTTGTGAGCTTAAAGTGAATGAAAAACTAGAAAAAAGAAATACGAGCAAAAAGAAAAGAGAGAAAATAAGACGTCTTTGTTGACAGTTTTAGGCATTAACAGTATCTGTTTCCACACTAGAAAATTTATTTCAGTCATTGTCAATTTAATATTGTCTATCTATGTTTGATGGTGAAGTATAAGTACTTATATGTTGTAGGTAAGCTAGTAGAGACTATCCATAAGAGAGGAAGTAAATATAGATTTGGTTATCAGAAACCTATCCTAAAAGAAGAAATTTATGACATGGATGTGGAGTGATTACGCAAAAGTGTAATTATTTAAACCAGCGGATGATTACATATATTACCTTTCAAAACTTTATTTTGAAGTTTCTGAATCCTTGCCTGACTAACCGGGCAATTGTACTTTGTAAGTTTCAGGCATTTACCTACCGGATAGTGTTGGTAATTGACAGTTTCTTTTCATTCTGGTGCAGTTGGAATGCTTTGGACTGGAGAAGCTCCGGAGGTTAAAGCACTGGAGGAGAACATGGCTTCATATTTTAATACGCTGCAAGGGCTCCTTTTGCTTTCCCACTCAAGTACAGTGGGCGGAGGATCTACCCTGTGTTCCTGCATTCATGCGTCCATTAAACAAGTTGTTGATAGCAGTTTCATGTTGATGAAAGAGTCCGTGTCTTCATATGGTATGTATCTATCTGTATATATTCTATGCGCAGCCAAGTCCATGAACATATGAAAAGCTTACAATTACAAAATGTTAGGAAGTATAGTGTATCTGAAATGGAAAAAGGTCGTCATATTGTTTTACAATAGTGTTTATCTTTTCTCAGATTATGCATCTTTTACACATCAGCGTTTACCCACTTCAATCCTTTCTTAAGTATATGGGGATTCACCAGTATAATCCCTCTTTCCTATCACATGTTGTAGTTTCATAAAGAAAATAGAAAGAGCATAAAAGGCAGGACGTAGCTAGTTACCCAATGACTGAGCTACTAGACCTGTTAGTTACTTCTTGTGTTATTTTTAATTTTTTTGGTAATTTGGGACAGCATGTTGAAAATTATGAGACAAATAATTTGAGTTTAGCGAAAGAGCTTATCACCCCAAAGCTACTGACAGTTACCTAACAGTTGAACATCCAAATTAGTGTCCATGTTTGGCTGATGTGCTTCATCAAAATCTCAAAAGCGTATACACAATACATGTTGAACCGTCTACCCCACAAAAAAAAGAAAAAAAGAAAATGGAGGCAGAAGGAAATCAGTTAAAGGGGATATCTTGCAAAATTAAAATGGCAGAACAGCTGAAGGAAAAGAAAGAAGCCCTTTCTGCCAATACGATCCCCTCCCCAAAAGAGAGAACTTTTATAATGACACAAAACTGTCTAAAGATGTAGATAGCTCCATTTGCTTGGGTGTAAAAAGTCATTCATCTCACTTTTGTTCTGCTTCTAGTTGTGGTATATTGTTTTTCAGTTTCATTCATCACACGTATCTGCTGCATCTACTCCTCATGTATTGATTTTCTTTTAACAGTTATATATCTCACGACCAACTATGTTTGCTGCCCAAAATGATTGTGCAGGATCTCACAACAAAAACCAGAAATTATCAATCCCGCAGTTGGTTGGCACTGTCTGGGAAGCTTGTTCTGCTCTTAAAAAGACTCCAGCCACAAATATTACTGCTATAGGTCGAGCAATGACACAACTTGCTGTTTCCATGAAGGATGTACTTCGTGAAATGAATGAACTGAAGCCAGCGTCATCTGATGTCGGAGATGAATCTTCTGTTCAAGATTCTGCCGAAGGAGATCAGGATAGTGATGATTCATTTGCAGGTGATCTAGGCAATGATCTTTCTCCGGAGGAAATGGAAATTGCTCGTTTGACTAGTGATGTGGTATCTGCAACACTTGTGGTCATTAAAGAACTTATTCGCTCCATTACAAGCTTGCTTAAGCAGGAAAGTACTGCAGATACTGCTACTTTTGTACCCTCTCTAGAGACACTACTGAAACTTTCTCAAGAAATCGGACTTCAAATTGACGAACTTGGAGCTTCTCTGTATCCTCCACAAGAAATTTCTTCATTGAAGACTGCTATAGAGAAGATATCATGTGCTACT